GAGGGTTGATATATATATATATATATATATATATATATATATATATATATATATATATATATATATATATATATATATATATATATATATATATATATATATATATATATATGTGTGTGTGTGTGCATTTTTGCTTTAGTTAAGTTTTTTTTTTTATTTTCTCTTTCGTTAAGATATTTTTTACTAAAACTTACCTAAACTTATCTTATTTTCTCTTTCGTTAAGATATTTTCTACCAAAACTTACCTAAACTTATCTTAAAAAAAACTTTTTCAAAGTTTTTTTTAAATGTTTAGTGACAAAAATGTTGCACTAAACATTTAAAAAAAACTTTGAAAAAGTTTTTTTTAAATGTTTAGTGCAACATTTTTGTCAACTCATCCTTTTTAAAGCAAACTTTAAGAAGCTTCTTAGATAATTTTCATCTCCTGAAGTCAACATGTTGGCCACTTTTGGTAACTGCATGCTTGATTCCTTTATTGCAAAGGATAGTGTTTAACATTTGCATCATTGATTAAGACTTGCTGTGTCTTCTTCCATTATTAATTCATTTTCTAATTTTATCTGTGCACGCATTTTTTGCCTAATTTATTTATTTATTTTCATTCTTTTTAATTTCCTTTGACTTCCTTTTTTCATTTTCTAGCAAATTTTTTTTTCCTCTAATAATATTAGCATTCAGAGTTTGCTTTTCTACCTGCATTAATAAACTCTTTTGTTATAGAAAAACTCAAGAACAGACCCAGCTATGTCAATCTCTGCCTTTCCTATTTGCAATTCAATAACGGTATGTTCTGATACAGATAACCTATATTTAGGTAGCAAAGCATTATTGACTGAAAAAGCCTTTTTCAGGTAGGACATTAGCATGAGATAATGTGAGAGCTGATGCAACAATATAATAAAGAATAATATATTTCTGAACACCCAGAATATCGTTAATACTTAGCATAGTTAAGGTGAGATCTGAACAATTTGCATTTTTTAAAAATAAAAAATGTATGTTTTTAAACTTTGATTTTTTGTGTTTTCCACTTATTTTTGATTATTACTGTTATATATTTTTAAAAAGTAGAATTCAAGTTTTTCTTATATAATTTATTACTTTTTTATAAATCCTTTTTCAACCAAAGTATCAAACAAAACAAAACTACCACTAAAATACATGAAATGCATCTTGGCAGTGTCATAAAAACAGTTGAAACAAATGTGTTAAGTATTTACATTCCAAAAATGTCTCTTTTATTCGAAAGTAAAAAGTCTCCTTGTTTACAGCTTTAAATTATTCAATAAATGGCAAAAAAATTCATTCTTTATCTTTCCGTAAACAGTAAAAACATTAAAATCAAAGTTTTCATATTAGTTTTCACTATCATAATAATTTACTTCCTTAATCTCTTTATAGTCATTTAAATAAATTACCAAAAAGAAACATTTCAGCTTTCATATAACTTCTGCCCCATAGTATTAAGCAAAAACTTGAAACTTGTAGATAATAAAATCACAAAATATTTGTAAACAAAATAATACAATGAGCATCAAGATTTAAAAAAAAAATAAACCAATCAGAATGCACACAAAATAAAACGGCATTTTTTGAAAATGAAAGGGCCTAAATGCAATGTTTTTTCTTCAGATCTCTCCTTAACTATGTTGAGTACCAGAGACATAATGTCAATAAGTACAAATGTCAACACCCCCAGATTCTGACCATAAAATCGGTTTTGGATCTGTTTCCAAAGCTGCTCTATGGTAATCTTATCACAAAACCTATCAGTGCTTGTATCTTCAAGACACCCATTGTACAATCAGTAAAAGTTGTACATCTAATGTACAATTTGTTTGAAAACTTTCTAGGAATTCTTGTAGACTATTGGCTAGAGACACCAGATAATGTAGATTATCATTTTTAATTTTTTGTATCTCTGGACATTCAAAAAAGACTTATTGGATAAAAATTTTTTCAATAAAATATATCTTTAGCGCTGAGTAGTACTGAAGAATTTGAGTACAAACAGGAGCCAATTATAGCCACTGACTACTTACTGGGCGAAGAAAGAAAATACTTACTGGTCAAAAAAAAACTGATTCTACGAGTTCTTTAAAAAATTATTCTTTATAGTCTTTTTTTTTTTATTTGCTGAATGCTTAAACCAAGAATCATTTACAAATAGCTCATCATCAAATGAAACCATATATCAAATCGATTGCAAAATTAGCATATGCTAAGGTTGCATATCTTAATCGTGTTTGCCACTTTCTTACTCAGGATTCTATTCTTTATCTCTATAAATCTCAAACCTGTCCTTGTATGGAATACTGTTGCCATATCTGTGACAGATATTTCAATGATCCCCTTTCTCTTTTAGAAAAATTGGACCTGCTCTTGCAGCCAACCTCCAACTATTATCACATCATCGTAATGTTGCTTTCCTTTTTATAAATACTACTTTATAAAAGTTAAACATCTAATGCACAATTTTCACTGCTTTAATATTCTAAAAGATGAATACACTAAAATGATGAATACACTGAATAATCGGCACTGCTCTAAAAAGCTAGCGTCTTTTGTGCAATTTACTAAAATTCATTTTCTTGTTATTCAAAAATTTACTAAAATTCATTTTCTTGTTATTAAAATTCATTTTCTTGTGTATTCAAACAAGTTTTATTTTTTTACTGTGACCAAATCTTCCCGGAAAGTTCGTGCAGTCGCACACTTTGTTTGTCAATGTTTAAAGTAATTTTTAGTCATAATGCCCACGGCAGTTTGGATTTTTTAACTTTTAAAGCATTTCAATAATTTGCAGCAAAAAGCTAAACAACGAAAAAAAAAAACCAATACTAAAAAAAGGAAACAAAATTCTTTTTTTTTAAAATACCTTTGCTTCCAACAAGGCTGCAAGCAACCACTATTAGAGTTGGATATTACTGGAAGAGAAAAGATGATGTTTATTTAAGGTTGGAACATACAAAAAGAAAGAAAAAAGAGACAGAAAGTCCTATGCAATAAGCAGACAATGACAAATGCCTACAGTTCTGCCAAATGTAAGCAGATGTCTGCTAACCAGGTATCCAAGGATTATGGAGTTGATAAAAAGGCTCTTTTAAGGAGAGTAGAAGGGGAAATACCAGTAAAATCTCATCCATGGAAGAAACTTTTTCGACAACTAAGCAAGAAGAAGAACTTGTAGACTGCTTTATTGTGTTAGTTAAGTAAAGACAAGGCAAAAGACTTAATACAGGAATTTGTAAAAGAAAACCGTATTAAAAATCCTTTCAGCAATGGTTAACCTAGTAGAGACTGGTTGTGTAGCCTCATGTGATGCCATCCGAAAATAGTCCCAAGAAAAACAGAACATCTCAGCAATGCAAAAGCCCAGTCTGAAGACCCTGTGGTAATTAAGAAATGGTTTCAACTGCTCAAGAAGGCTCTACAAGATGCTGGAGTTAGCAGCCTTTCCCTGGTGTACAGGGAAAAATATTTGATATTTGATATTTGATAGACATGCCTCACATATGGGCTTGCCTCTTATTGAATCAGCAAAAAAGAATAATCTCCTACGTCTGCCTTTTCATCTGACTAATCTTCTCCTACCTCTAGATACACCAGTTTTTAGACCTGTGAAGACCAAATGGCAAGCCTGCTATTAAAATATGCAAAGACACACTATGATCCAGTATCAAAGAAGCATTTTCCTGGTCTGCTGCACACTCTTTTCAAAAGTTCTTTCATAGTAGAACAAGTGAAAAGTGATTTCAGGGATACTGGTATTTTCCCTCTTAACAAGGATGCCATTGACACAAGCTTGTTTAAGCAGCATCCTCACGCTATAATGTCAACAGCTGTAGAAACTATCACATTGCCTACTCCTACTTCGTCATGCTCTACACAAGTACTTTCCAGCACTAGTGCTCACAATGCTTCTGCCTCAGCATCAATACTACATGTATCTCTGTCAACATCATTATCAACTGCAGCATCATCAACAGAATTATCACCTTTATCTTCAGCACCTGCAGAAAGACCACAGACACTATTGTCTACTTCATCCTTAGTAAAGTCTTCTATTAGAGACTTTTTTCTCTTTTCAAAGAACTGCAGCCCAGATTTACACAAAATTCTGGTTATGTTGGGTTGGCTAGAGTTATCAGGTCTCACTACGGAGAAAGTTAAATAGGTGATGGGTATCTGAAGTGACTGAGAGAAGAAACAGCCAAAAAAGAAGAGGCTCAAAAAAAATCAAAAAAAAAACACGAGAAAAAAAGAAATCTTTCAGCTGGGGATGATAGGGACAGTGATAAGAACAACAACACTATATGCCTAAAGTGTGGTATTCATGGGAGTCAAGAAGAAAAATGGGCTTATGTGATGTTTGGTACCATGCTAAATGCACAGAAATTCGAGATTGAAGCCATGAATTGGATCTGTGTGAAGTGTCTACAAACTATGTAAAAATTTATGTTTAACATACTGCAGCTTATTGCCCTCTTTTGTAAAATTTGAGTAAGCATTAATTTTTAGGTTTTTTTTTACTATAAGATTTTAAATTTTGCTGAATAAAGGTTTTGCACTTATAGAAATATGTGTTGTCTATACTAAAAAATATTTCCAGGTTGAATTTAATATTTATTTATTATTTCAAAGAGAGAAAAGAAAATTACTTAAAAATATGGGGCTTAATGCCCCCTGTTACCCCCCTGTTACTGTTAAGTATATATATATATATATATATATATATATATATATATATATATATATATATATATATATATATATATATATATATATATATATATTTTGTATGTACCTTACCTTTACCTAATTCAATTACCTTTTACCTGATTCAATTATTACTTTACTCATTAAATTGTTGTATTTTCTCTTAGTCTACCTTACAATTATTAATTGTAAGGTAGACTAAGAAAATACAACAATTGAATGTGTAGTTCATATTTCAAGTATATTTTTTTATTTTAAGAAAAAGTTATATATTTACCAATCTGTATAAAAATGTTAGATCACCGAGACGGAATATGCAAACATAATCATTCTTTAAGCAACCAAAGTAGCTGTACCAGAATCCATTTGATGGTGATTTTCTAGTGTAAGTTTGAATCGGAACTGGAAAAGGTGATTCTAAAAGATGCAGTCCAGCCTTTGTTTTACGTCGTGGTTTTCGTAAAATTTCATCTGCCATAGTCAACAAAAAGCGAAAAAGTCAACTAATAAAGAATCAAAAGAATCAGCCAAGAATCAGTCAGAAACTACCACTTAGTTGATGCGATAGACGACTTCTTGACAAATAGTTTATTTAGGGTTTTATTTTCGTACTAAAATCCCTGATTCCCGTTTCACGTTCTTAGACGTCTTTGCGCTTTGGCCGTCATGACGACTGAAAGGTAGACACATCGAACTTAGGTTTGGTAAAAATTATCTGCTTAGATTAATAAATAAAGTATAATGTAAAAAGTATAAAGTATTTAAAAAATAATAATCAATAAATTAAGTCACGCAATTTTCTAACATTTTTGGCAAAACCCTCCCTCCTCTTCCTTTTTCGTTACACTTCAGTAACAAGTCCCGTATTGCAATAGCATCGAAAATTACTTTTTATCAAAAAAAGAGACGATTCTCTTAAAGCTGTACTTTCAAGAATGATTGCACAAGATGGCATTCCTTTCAATAAATTTTGTACATCTGAAGATTTAAAGATGTTACAAAAAACAAAAAGGTACATAGAGTTAACAAAATCGCCAAAAACCAGTCACAAAAAGTAATGGATTATGCCGATAAAATAAGGAAAGAAGTTGTAAAGGAAATTTCACATAATAAGCTCAATAAAAAAGCCTATAGCCTTACCACATATGAATGGACATCAAATAAAAACTGCTGGTATATAAATACAATTATTCATGGAAATAACGGTAATTTTTGGAAATCTTTGATTGACTCGGATTTATGGATCCGCACCTGCTGAGGTATGCACAGAACTAATTGAAAAACGTTTAATGTCAAACATAATGTGCATAATAATTGTCAAATATAATGCGCATAACATCAGACGGAGCTGCCGTTAACAAGAGAACGGTAATGTTACTTAATTAAAGCCATCAGTTATGTATCGTACATGGCATACAATTGGCAATCATAAAAGTACATTATAATATTAGTTCAACTGATGTACAAGATGTTAATGAACATAATGGTAATGTATTATCTAATGTTGATTCTGATTATTTGGAAATTGAACTTTAAAGTTTTGAAGTAGACCACGAAGATATCGACACTACCTATCTTGTTCTACAAAACGCAGAGCTAAATTCTTTAATTAAAAAAATTCGGAAAATTATAAAACTTTTCAGAAAACCACCAACCTAAAATGATAAACTACTACAAAAATACGTTAAAGGAACTGTCAGAAAAGAACTTTTTTTAATTTTAGACTGTAAAACTAGATAGAGCAGTTTATTACGCATGCTAGAAAAATTTTTAAAACTTAAAGATGCTGTTTGAAAAAGCCTAATAGATTTAAAAATTGACATTGATTTTAATTAAAGTGAAGTAAGATTACTTTCAAAAGCTTGCAACCAATTAGGTTGGCCGTTGAAACACTCGTCATTGAAAAGCTTGATTTATATGACGATCTTCGATAAAGATAATGTTAGACAAGTTAAGTAACCAAAACACTTTTTTAAGTATTGCATTAAAAAATGAATTAATAAGTTGTATTAATGAAAGAAGAATGATAATTATAGACGTGTTACACTATATAACAGACCCTAATGATATTATTTCTGTTAAAGACAATTAGGGCATTTTAAATATCAGCAGTAAAGCCGTAATTATTAAAACTATTGTAGAAAATATTGTGTGCAATAATGCGGAATCTGGTAAGAGTATTCAAAGACACCTAAATGAATCAGATTCGGATTTAAATAACAACCTCATTACTGTTAAACCAAATTCTGGTTTTTCTATGAATGAAAAACATAATTTTTGAAAAATAAACGGACAAGAATAAAGGAATTTTTTAATAAAGGATAATTATTTTCAATAAAGAGAATTTCTTGAGAATTGCTCATAACGTAAAACTAGTTTCAGCAATGTTAAGAAATTTCCATTTAAGAATCTCCAATTAGGTCAGATTTTCCACAAAAAGCAAATCTCCGTTTACCAAGAAACAGAATCACATCCAAGACTTGTTCTATAGTTTTTCTCCAGGTAGCTGCTTCATTAAGGACTTGGTTCACAAAATGTGGAAATGTGAAACTTGATTTCCAGGTGAAAATAATAGAACACTGCTATCTTTGCTAGGCTAAATACAAGCCAATCTCGAGAAAAGGATTCTTTATTTGGCATTCTGATTTTTAAAAAACAAATTAAATATATGATTTCTAGTATCTTTTGGCATATCCAGTGGAAAGGGAACGTAACCAGCTCTAACAAACCTATCCAGCTAAGTAAAACAAAATTGAAAAAAGGAAAAAATTTCAAATTTAAAATCACCTATCACAAATGGTTGCAACAAAGCTGGTCCAATAGTGCTAGTGCAGTAGATTGGATGCTTACTTTTTTTTATAAAAAAGTTTTAGAAGAAAGTAACACAAAAGGTCTAAAAGAAGTTATAAAAAATGAGTTAGAGTACTTTAATAAAATATACGAGGGAATTACATTCAAATAGTTTTTGACTATTTGATGACCATTCATCCAACAAGTGTTGAACCTGAAAGAGTATTTTAAGGAGCTGGACTAATTTGTACTAAAATTAGATCTCTATTAGGGTGACAAGACATTGGATATTTTAAGGTTTCTACAAAGCAAATTTTTAAAAAAATGATTTTTAACAAAAGTTGTATTAATTTATTAATATATAAAGTTTATCGGTAATTTACCGATTTACCGGTATTATAGTTTTCATTTACTGAATTACCGGTAAATCAAAAAATCGGTAAATTTACAATCCCTACGGACGACTATTAATTATTAAAACTGATCAATGCCAGCTTTTTATATGCGTTTAATAAAGTTCCGTCAACCTCATTTTACATTTCTTCTACTTTGTATGCATCCGTTGTGTAGATCTCATTTGCGACCTTTGCGATCATCGACTAGGAGGTCTTTGCAATAAATCTTTCGACTTAAATATAACTTGATCCAAATGACTGCAATCAGCACTAGTTTGTCATTTTGTTTCTCTGCTTGCTCTTTACGTAGGTGAACTGGGGGTAGACTCTCTGAACAAAAAAGTTGAAAAGATTTAGGTAGTAAAAAATGGATCTCTTACCAATACAGTTGGCAATCTACTTAGACCTAACTGACCGACCTGAATTAATATTATTAGCTTAGTTTAGTCTCAATAAATTTGATGACTCATTATTAACTTAATTGTATCTTAATCCTCATTGTACATATAATAATAATAGTAATAATAGTAATAACAATAATAATAGCAATAATAATAATAACGATGATGATAATAATAGTACTAATATCTTATTCTCATCTAAACTTCATTCAAAGCTGTTTTTTAGAAATAATTCAAGTAAGTGGAATAGACAATATTTATCATTTAATGTGCCAAAAAATTTAAGAAATCTTTACGAGTTGCTAAAATAACTGTAATAAGTCAGAGAAAGATACCAATAACCTGTTTCGCCTTTTAAAAAAATGTTGTACTCAAGTTTGGCTGAACTTTTGGGGCGCAGTGATAAATAGGCAAATATTGTCTTCTCTTAGCCCCGGTCATGTAGATTATATTTATATAACACGGTATGGCATTCTTTTTTTTTTAATGACAAAATAAATAAATAAACTCACATCAGTTTTTATTTGACATTTTTAGAGATTTAATGTTCAAAAATTTATGAAATGATCATTTAGATTACTTTTGTATATATCGTGCAATCAAGTTTCAAATGTTCGAGGGAAATGCTTAACCCATACTCAAAAAAAGTTTCACAAATGTTCAGCTGTTGAAATTTCATCAGCTGAACATTTTTTTTAATTTTTGTTAGTAGATTTTTAAGTAATTTTTGTAGGTACTAAATTCACTATTAATGCTACTTAATGATCACCGTTAAATTTCTTTAAAATTTTTATAATTTCATTCTTCTTCATCATCAGAATCCCTCTATCGTCGTACCACTTACAACTACCTTAAAGCTGACTGTATGGGCGCCCGCAGAATTTTTTGATGTTTCAGATAGGTCACTTTCATACATTGAGCAAACTCCAAATTTTTTTTATGTTCATACTTATGCCAAATGAGAAGGTCTTTCAAAAATTTGAGATGGCGAAAACCTGGGAACAAAAAAACCCTAAAACTAAACATCACAAAAGTTATAACCATGCAAATTTTCCGACCTCCCCAAAATGTGGGGATGTAAATTGCATGGTCATAATTTTTGAAATTTTTATTTTTTATTTTTTTAGGTGCTCCTTACGGTCTTATCACAGAGCACCGCGGATGAGCATATAATTGTAAGTTCACGCCTTCTTCCTAACCGATGTCGCAAAACTTGCCCCTAGGTGGGCTTTGAACCACGGATCTTTTGTTTCTGAGGCAAGTGCGCTCCACTTTTTGTTACAATATTTTTTTACGAAATTAAAAATCTGTCGATAAATTTAAATTTTGTTTAAGATAGTAAAGTTGAAATTTTGCTAAATCAGTGCCCTTGTGTTTGGGTAGGAGGAGCAAGCATTTTAAAGCTTTTTCTGTTTCCAGGCCTCCGCTATCCTAAATTTTTGTAAGGTCTCCTCATTTGGTATAGGTATGAACATACTTGGCAACTTTTCTTAACTACAAGCTCAATCTTGCTCCCAAATTTTTGTATTTTTTTTTAAATTGATAGAAATATTGCCTTTTGACAAATATTTATAGTTAATCTACGTCAGAATTGATTAGAAACAGGATCTATAGCAGGCTAAGGCACTTTGTAAAAAGATTTTTACTAAAATTTTAGCTAATGCCGATGAGTAAAATTGATCTAAAGACTCCAAGATGGTATTCTTTAGATTCACTAATAGGGGTAGTAAAAAGGTTTTGAAAATTATATAAAAAAAGAAAAGTACACTGAGTAGCAAACATTTTTTCACTCTAAATTTTCAAAATGCCAAACAGGCTTTGTTCTCATGATGAGAATTGTTATGCAGTCTGCTGCATGTTTCTCAAATTCTACAGGCCTGTTACAAGCTCTTTGATGGTATGTGTTTTGACTCCCTACCAAGAAAGAATTGATTTTAATGACCCTTGTGTACCTAAAAAATTGGGTTAACCTTGTTGTTTTGCACTCAATAGATAAAGGAAAAGAGGTACAATTACCAGATTTGTTCAACTTAGAGAAAATCAATGTCAAACCCCCGACA